ACAAGATCTGTTCACATCACTCCCATTCTCATTTTTCAAGGTCAGCCATAGTACCTTCTTTCTGTACCTCAAAAATGCCAGCTTTTTTTCACCTTAGGGCTTTCTCCTGTTGACCCCTGCCTGGTATACTTGTTATTCTTAGCTCAGCTCAGATTTGGCTTCAGGAAGACCTATCCAAACAGGTACAGGGTATGAATATACTTTATGGAAATGGTCAGCCTTACCCCAAATAAGAAAAATATACAATGTACTATAGTGAGATAACATTATTTACCTATTAGATTGGCCTAAATCTAATTTTCATTCATAATAGGAATGTTCATTAATATAATCTCCAGGAAATTTAGCATTACATATGAAAGTATAAATGTGTATTTTCATCTCTTCCTCTTCCTCCTCCTCCTCCTCCTCCACCTTTTCTCTAGTGCTAGGGACGGCACTAAATACTTTGAGCATTCTAGGCAAACACGACATCATTGAGATATATCCTCAACTCGATATTGTTTTTAAGAGCTGAACACCATTGCCATAGAATTTCCTCAGCCATTCAAAATGGCTTCTTGTCCTTTTTTCATGGCCCTGACAAATGTTGGCTTTGGTCTTTGTTTTAGAATTTGTTTTTAACAGACTGGGTTTTAGTAGAGAATACATTACTCATTCTAGGGGAATCTGGAGGTTTAAAAAATGAATATGTCAAGAACACCAGTAATAGAGGTGGCTACACATTTCCAAAACAGACCTGCTTGTCTATCACCTCCACAAACCACCTACACTTCTCTCAGAAAGAATGCCTTTGGCATAAACACATTCCATTCAAAGCTATCTCAGCTTCATGTTGTTTATTGAAGTCATCATTTTGACTTGCCCACAAGGCTAGACAAATCATAGGTACTAATCTGTGGCTTTACGTGAAGCCAGACTCCTTATTACCAAAGAGTCAGGTTCAGTAATGACGAGTCATTTGGAGGATTATAAAAATTTTAAAACCTACCACACAAAATTCTGTACTGAACGGGTGAGATAGAATCATTAAGTAATACACTCATACATGTAAAATAAAAATAATAAATTTTTTTTAAAAATTTAAAAAAAAAGAATCATTAAGTAAACAATTCTATAAAACACCCCTATTCAAGATTTGGTAAACTAGTCTCAGGATTTTAAGATAGGGGCAGGAGAAGGAAACAAAACGCAAAACTACACCACTCCAATTCTTTATCAGTCATTTACTGTCCTCTGCCAATCCTATGGTTAGGGCATAAATCTTTTTTAATTTTTAAAATTTAGTTTTTTTTTTAATGTGTTATGCCTGCATGTATGTAAGTGCACTCATGTCGTACAATGCCTGTGGGAGGACAGAAGAAGGCATGGATCCCCTAGAACTGGAGTTATGGATGGTTATCAGCTGCCATGTGGATGCTAGGATTTAAAGCCAGGTCTTCTGCAATAACACCCAGTGCTCGTAACCACTGAGCCATCTCTCCAGCCCCAGAGCATAAATCTTAAGACATAATGGTTAATCTAAAGGTCATTAAAGCAAGCAAACATCACAGGCCAATAGGACACTTATGAGCTATAAGAAATATTATCTGGACCTTTTCCATAACCATAACAATTTGTACAGTCTTTTTTTCCTTTTTTTTTTTTTTTGAGACGGAGGTCTCATTATGTAACTCTGGCCTCAAACTCACAGAGATTCACCTGGCTCCGCCTCCCAAGTATTGGGATTAAAAGCATACACTAGCGTGCCCAATGCTGAAAAATCTTTCTTAAAATTTTTTTATTACATTCATTTATTTACTTACTTCTCTATTTGTGTGTGCATGTGTATATATATGAGCGTGTTTGTGCCACAGTGCATGTGTGGAGGTCAGAGGACAACTTGCAGAAATCCATCCTCTCCTACCATGTGGTTCCTGAGGATTAAACTCAGGTTAATCATGCTTAGAGGCAAATGCCTTTAACTGACGAGCCACTGGCTGATCTTCTTGTGCATAATTTTCATCTCTGTTACATCCCTATCACCTTAATCTAATCATAAGTCAAAGCAAATTGTTAGGAGGGATGGGCTCAACAAGAGATATCATTTTATTCAGGAAGTGAAGACAACTAAAGGTTACAGAACGTTTACTACATACAAGGCACTAATGCCTTGTATTCTTGCATGTAATTCCTTATTTGATCTCCAAAAACACCCAACAAGGAAAGTATTTTAAAATTTTTAAAAAATGTATGTGTAGCCGGGCGTGGTGGCGCACACCTTTAATCCCAGCACTCACGAGGCAGAGTCAGGCAGATCTCTGTAAGTTCAAGGCCAGCCTGGTCTCTATAGTGAGCTCCAGGACAGCTGGGGCTACAGGGAGACCTTGTCTCAAAAAAGACAAAAAAAAACAGTGGCTGGGCATGATGGCGCACGCCTTTAGTCCCAGCACTTGGGAGGCAGAGGCAGGTGGATCTCTGTGAGTTCAAGGCCAGCCTGGTCTACATAGTGAGCTCCAGGACAGCTGGGGCTACAGGGAAACCCTGTCTCAAAAAAACCAAAAAAAAAAAAAAAAAGTATGTGTATGAGTGTTCTGCCTGCATGTATGTGCACCACATGCATGTAGTGCCCACAGAGGCTAGAAGAGGGCATTAGATGCCCGGAACTGAACCGGGTCCTCTGCAAGTGTAGTGAGTGCTCTTAACCACTGAGTCATCTTTCCAGCCCCCAAGGAAAGTATCTCAAATCCCAAACTGAGTCTTAAGTGAGCTATCCTAAATCACAGGATATTAGGTAATAAAGTCAGAATTTAAATCCATGGTGTATCTAACTCCACAGTCTGTTTTTCCCCCGCTACTGTTTTTCAACAGAAACATTTAAGACAGTTAAATATAATTTAAATGCACTAATCAAATAAAACCTGTGCATTCATCTATTCAAACATCTTAAAGACAGCTACAGTGTCAAACATTGGATATGGGGGTTGTAGAGATAGCTGAGTAGTTAAGAGCACTGGCTGCTCTTGCAGAGGACCTGGGTTCAATTCCCAGCACCTACATGGTGGCTAACAACCATCTGTAACTCTAGTTCCAGGGAATCTGAAACCCTCTTCTGATCTCTTCAGGCATTGCATGAAAGGGGTACACTTATATACATGCATGTAATACACTCATACACATAAAACAAAACAAAAAACAAAAATCATTGGATATGTAACACTTAAACAAATCAAAGGATCAAGGAACTTGTTCCATGTCACTTAGCTGGTTAGGAAAAGACGAGACTTCAATACAACTCCATAGACACTCTTTTTGTTTGTTCATTTTGTTTGTTTGTTTTGGTATTTTTGAGACAGGGTCTCTCTGTAGCCCCAGCTGGCCTGGAACTAGCTCTGTAGACCAGGCTGGCCTCAAACTCAGAGATCTGTCTGCCTCTGCCTCCCAAGTGCTGGGATTAAAGGTGTGCACCACCACGCCTAGCTGCTATACTCTTAACTATGTGCCACTGCCTCCCTTAAAACTGAAAGGAAAACATAAGAAAAGCATTAATGTTTTCTATTGAAGCAAACAAAAACTAGGCCACTCCACTGCCTTAAAAGAACTTCTTACTAATGGACCCACTAGCTGAAAAAGTAACACTTATTCCCTTCATTTCTCAGAGCAACTTCACAGTTTTATGTAATATTAGTTCTGGATATAGATACTATTAATAAAGATTTTTATCTGCCTTGATAATAAATACTATTACCATCAAATATCTATCTGGCAACTTTTAAGTTTTTCAAAATGTCTTCATTCACACAATTTTTTTTTAAATTTTTATTTTATGTGTATGAGTGTATTGACTGCATGTATGTGAGAGCATCCGTACCATGCAATGCCTTGGAGGTCAGAAGAGGGCTTCAGATTCCCCTGGAACTGGAGTTAAGGATGGTTCGTAGCTGCCATGTGGGTGCTGGGAATTGAACCTGGGTCCTCTGCAAGAGGAGTCACTGCTCTTAACTGCTGAGCCATCTCTCCAGCCCCCATGTACACTATTTTTAACAAATACAACCATCAATAGCTCCTTATCTTAATTCTTACTGTTTAAAATTAAAAGCTCTACCATCTATCCAAAATTCCTTATACCCCATGCAACTATATATACTATATATATTTCCTTTGCCTAGGATGGTATTCCCTGCTAGCCATATGGTGCATTCCTACTGCTAGTACAAATATCTTCCCTATGTGACCTGAATTAGTCATTTCCCCTCCCATGACTACCAAGTCCTTTCTTACATATCTAGCACAGGATTTATTATTATTATTTATCATACTTTCTTTTTTTCCAAAAGACTAAACTCTGAGAGCTGCAAATACAGCTCAGTGGTACAGCAAGCGTAACACCCTGGGTTCCATTTCCAGTACTGGGGTATTAGGGTGGGGATGACATATAAAACTAAATTATGGTGGCTCATACCTTTAATCCCAGCACTTGAGAGGCAGAGGCAGGCAGAGCTTTGTGAGTCTGAGGCCAGCCTGGTCTACACAGTGAGTTCCAGGCCAGCTGGGGCTTCTGAGAGACCCATCTCAAAAAACCAACAAAACAAAACAAAATTATTTCAGAGGAGAAACTGGCTTTCTCATTACAATTTCCTCAATGTCAGTCTCACAGAAAATATTTATAAAATGCATGAAGGAATGAATTTTATATTGAGCCGAAAGTAGAACACCTAAGTAAAAGTCCTATATAATATGCCAACAATCTTAAACCTCATACTTTTTACCTTTAAAATAAGTAGTTTTTGTTGTGGTTATACTTTATTTTATTTTATGAGACAGGGTCTCATGTTAGCCCAGGTTACAGAGCCAATGCTGACCTTGAACTCTTCACCTTCCTCCCTTCACTTCCTAAGTGAAATAAATAGCTTTCATTCAATTAAATATTCATTGCAATGACTACATTTTGTAATTAATTTAGGAGGATATTCTGAGAGCTTTTTAGAAGAGATATAAACAATTCAAATAATTATTATTACCTCCTCCATCATGGCATCCTGTGTAGCTGAGATTTCTCCTTTGGTTGCTCCACTGTATACCAGGTTCCTTAGTCGTATACAGAATTCTCTCATCTATGATAGAAATTTATTCAGCACTCCAATAGTTACCCAAACTGTTAATAAATCTAACAGATCGATGCTAGCTACACTTTGAAGTACAACACAGCCAAGACCCAGGGCAAAGTTTAAAAAAACAAGTATGATTTCCTCCAGTCTACTTAAACAGACAGTGAAAAATACTTTCAATTAGGAGACAAGACATGGATTATTCCCAAAGAATATTGGTTAGAACCATTCTGGCTCTGCAACTAACAAGCCCCTCTGCATGTCTATAGAGAGAACATCTGGTTCCACAATGCCTGTTACCCTTACAGAAAGCAGAAGGCAAGATCATTACAGCGCTAATCACTCTCAGATTTTTATTTTGAACTTTATTAGTTGTCTACTTCCTTCTCTGCTAATCACTACGACCAATGACTACACCAACCCCCAATATCATTTTTGTTTCTTTCAGTTAGAGAGATGCCCAATACGAAGGAGATTCTGAAATTTAAGTAGAGTGTTAAAAAAAAAGTCTTGTTCTTGCTCAAAACGGAATCCAAAGCTAGTATTGATGATCTTTTAGCCTTTAGATAAGAATTCTCAGAGTTTCCTAGATAGAAAACAACTTACTTCTAATATTGAGGAAACATGTCTACATTTATTTTAAAATGCAATCTTTTCCCCAGGGCATCTAATTTCAGCCACAAAGATAAGGACGGCAGATTTTGGCAACTCCCAGTTCTCAAAAAAAGGTATCTGGCTAGCAGAACACCCTTATAGGGCTTATAGCCATCCTTGGGAATATGAGTTAATGTGGAGGAGAGAAATGATTCATTAAAGTAGCTTAAGCCATAAAAAACAGTTCAGTGACTGCATCAAATCTTCAGTGGGTGGCTAAACCACACTGATGTGGTCTGGGCAAGTCTAAGAACTCAGCATACTTTTAAAGAAAGTATTACAAATAGCTTTTGGTTTTACTAGTTCATAAAGCAGTCTCATCCCACCTCTGTTAGAAGTAAGACGCTCAAAACCCAGTATGTGTGCAGCCCAGATTAACTGAACACAGGACTTTTCTTCCTTGGGTACTCATAAAAAAACATAAACATCAACAGAAACAAAAGACAGCATTTTATTTATTTATTTATTATTTATTTATTTATTTATTTATTTGTCTTTTTGAAGCAGGGTCTCCCTGTAGCCTCAGCTCTCCTGGAACTAAGGAAAAAATACTAATCTTAATTATTTAAAGTTAACATAGTTACACTGTTTTTGATAGACCTTGACATCAGTAGTTATCTTGTCTCTTTCTTTAAAGGCTTTGGTAAGTACACTAAACCCAATCCCCCCTGCTCATATCCGGTACCTTGTGATTCAGAATGTCATTCATTCTTCTGCTTGCCTCTGTCGTATGAGATTCAGGGAAGCACTTCTTAGGAACAACACCATATTTTTCTAAAAGACAACAAATTTTAGTGTTCAATAAGGCAAAACTATATACTCTAATATTAGAAATCCTGCAGAAATTATTGACTTTAAAATAGGTGTGGTGGTCCATGACTGTAGCCCTAGCACTTGGGAGGCAGAGGCAGGTGGATCTCTCTGAGTTCAAGGCCAGCCTGGTCTACATAGTGAGTTCCAGGCCAGGTGAAGCTACAAGGAGACCCTGTTTCTAAAAAGACCAAAAAACAAACAAACAAATAGGCTGTATTCTATAGATTTGACTCAGAAAATGTTATGCTTTATATTAATAAACAAGGGATTGGTTTTTGTTTCCGTTTTGGCAGAGGGTTGGTTGTTTTGTGACAGGGTCTCTTTCAGCCTGGCTTCAAACTCCCTATGAGGCCAAAGATAACCTTGAATTTCTGATCCTCCTGTCTCTACCTCCAGAGTGTTGGGATTACAGACATGTATCACTGTATCTGGTTTATGCAGTGCTATGGATCAAACACAGGATTTACACATTCAAGGCAAGCTTCTAACTGAGTTGCATTCCCAGCCCTTAAACAGGTTTGTTTTGTTTTTTGCAATTCTGGGGATTGAACCTGGGGCCTCAGGCATGCTGAGCAATACCAATGACCTATATTCCCAGCCCCTTAAACAGATTTTGTGTTTGTTTGCTTATTTTTTGAGATAGGGTCTCCCTGTAGTCCCAGCTAGTCTAGAACTATGTAGACCAGGCTGGCCTTGCTCTCGCAGAGATTCATTCGCCTCTGCCTCCTGAATGCTGATATTAAAGGTGTGCACCACCACACCTGGCTCACCTTAAACATATTTTTAATGTGCATATTTATCTATCTTGAAATTAGTTCTATTATTTTTATCTATCATACTTAATACATAAAGTACTCAGCATATGAGTTCTCCCCAAAAGAAAATGTTTTGGATAGGGCATTTTCCAATAGTTTTTGTTTAGATTATTTTATTTTTTAATTCTTTTTGGTTTTTTTATCCAGGGCTATGTACATGCTAGGCAAGCACTCTATCACTGGCCTATATAATACCCCATACCAAACAGCTGAAGTTTTAATGTGTCTCTTGACTCCTCAGCAGACAAAAGATAAGCTTTTTGATGCAAAGTTACTCCCAATTACTTCTACCTTTTCTTGTCCAATCCAGCCTTCACAGTACCTATCTCTTTATCACTCATTTAAGAAAAGACCTTCAAAAATAAAAATTCAAACTAAAGGTTCTTAGAAATAACTATACGGCCTTCTTGGAAGCCAGTTCTACTCTGCACATAACCAACAAAAGAATGGCCTATTCCTAACTACAGAGGCTTGCTCCATCATGCTGTTTCAGTTCTAGAGAAAAGCCCTTACCCACAATATTGACAAGCATATCCCATTGTCCTCCATCATTTGTAGGGTTCATAAGCAAATACTGCACCAGCCTCCCATCTTCAGGCTCCTTTTTCTGGGCTGTGTCCACAAAAGCATTCAAGAAGAAATAACAGCGTTCGACCTAGAGTAAGAGAAGATAAATAAAATTAAAAGCAAAGGGAGCCAATAACTTATTGGTATAATCAGTAGAATGGGGGGGAGGGGGTATTAGAATTACCATGAATCTAATATAGTAAGTTTTTATTTGTTTGGGTTTTTTGTTTTTTAGAGATGAGGTCTTACTATGTTGTCCTGACTGGCCTGGAACTTACTATGTAGACCAGGTTAGCCTCAAACTCACGAGATCCATTTGCCTCTGCCTCCTGAGTGTTGGGGTTAAAGCATGCACCACCATGCCCAACATATACTAGGTTTCTTATAACTAAAGTTAGTAATTAAATACCGGTATTTGGCCTCAAAAGAATATCTGTTTCTTCTTATACCTGTGTACATATTCTAACATACTGCATATATGTATACTATATATACATTCTAATACTGAAATAAAACCTGATAGAGTCTTTAATCAGTGAACATCTAATGGACAGTCATACATATTTAAAGATTTTTAAATAAAATAAAATTACTGTTTTTCATATACAAGTGCTACCAAAAGAAGGAACTAGGCCCTTAAAAGACCAAATAACCTAAATAAAGATGCTTGAAAGGGAAATTGTTGAAAAAAAAAATTTTAAATTTTAAATGGAGAAATAGCAAGTGGTCAGTCAGCAGACTTATTTCATTGCGGAAAGTAGCCATGTATCAACCAAACCATAGTTCTGGGGTTTGGGGTTATAGCTTAGTGTTAAGAGCCCTTGTCAGCATCATGTCAGAAGCCTTGGGTTTAATCCTCACCACCACAAAAGGAAAAAATAAGCAAAAGCAGTTCCGCCTTTAGAAAGAATAGACTTGATTCTTTGGGAATCAGAATGGTGTCATATATATAACAAGACTGTAAATAAAAATCCAAGAAATATAAAGGCTGTCCCTACCTAGGTTGCAACTGAAGCAAAAAGAATCATGCAAGGTCAGGCCCATACCTTGTCCCAGAAAAAGAGGTAAGACTGACTAAACTCAAATTCTTCAATATTAAATTTTTTCATGAATGGAAGTCTCATAACATTCAAACAAGAAAAAATCCAGCAGCGTCCTAAAATGAGAAAGCAAAATAAGAAATTATGAATGCTCACATAAATCACATTGCTCCAACTACATTTCTCAACACTGAACTCATCGTAAGATTTGGACAATTAAGACTAAATCATAAATAACAGAAATAGTAAATCAATCAATTTGTTTCTTTTTGAGATAGGGTCTCATGTAGCCCAGGTTAGCCTGGAGTGCTCTATTTGTAGCCAAGGATGACTCTGAACTTCTGATCGCTCTGCTTCACCTCTGAAGTGTTAAGATAACAGGTATGTGCCACCACACTCAGTTTTATGTGGTGCTGAGAAATTGAACCCAGGAATTTGTGCATTTTAGGCAAGTACTCTACCAAATGAGCTATGTCCTGAGTCAAGAACAGAAATACTAAAATCAAAGCAAAACAAAGGACATATAGTGATTACTATATGGTATATACATGTAGAAGTTTAATATTTTTAAAACACACACAAAAAAACTTTTTAGGGCATAATGGCTCATATCTGTAATTCTAATACTAGGGAGGCTGAGTCAAGAAGATTGACGTAAGTTCAAGGTCAGCCTGAGCAACACAGCGACTTCTAGGCTAGCCTAGAAAACACAGTAGAAAATGAACAAGATCATGAGTAGATAATTTAATGGCCCAAAATGATACAAATGGCAATGAAACATTTTTTTTAAGTTCATTGTAAGACACATGTTAAGTGGGAAAACATCTTTTTTCTTTTTAATCGATAATGCCCAGTATTGGCAAGGACTTGAAGAAATAAACATCACAGTTCTGAATAGAGAGTTAAGTAGGTACAAAACACCTGAAATCACTTTGGCTATTCCTAACAAAAAATTTAATGGAATAAACAGGATAGCCTTCCAATGAGTGGGTATCCTTAACATATTCTCCCAATGATTTCTTTTTAAAGGAGGTATTTGGCTAACTGGGTCATTTAACATTTAAATGCACATGGTAAGTTTGGGAAGAATGAAGCAGTTCTTGAGAATCACTTCAGCCCAAGAGTTTAAGTATAATTTTAAAATTGAGGCATAAATAGTAAACTATCTGCCTGTTAAAATAATATTAACATAATAATTACTAAAAACACTGTTTTTCAGCCAGGCATGGTGGCACACACCTTTAATCCCAGCACTTGGGAAGCAGAGGCAGGCAGACCTTTGTGAGTTCAAGGCCAGCCTGGTCTACATAGCAAGCTCCAGGCCAGCTGGTGCCACAGGAAAACCCTGTCTCAAAAAGACAACAACAACAACAAGACCAACCAAACAAAAAAACCACAGTTTTTCTAGGACAGAAATGGAAATGTAGCTTAGTTGATAGAATGCTTGACTAGCATGCAAGAAACCCTAGGTTCAAGCCCCAACAATGCATAACTGGACCTGGTGGTCAATGTCCGTAATCCCAACTCTTGGGAGGTGGAGGCAGAGGATCAGAAGTTCTAGATCATCCTCAGCTACACAGAAGCATTATTTTTTTCTACTCCTCCACTTGTTTTCACGGCTTCACACTCTACATGCACCCTGCTATCAGTGCCTCTGCCATCATTACATCCACATTTTCAACCAGAACACATCATCTTTCTTCCATTTCGTATGTTTCTGTCATAGCAATGTTCTAAGGCCATTTTACACCAAGTGCTAAGAATGCAGTCCTATTTTCGTTTACCTGTAAGCACATAATCAGAACTTCCACAATTCACCACTTTCTATACCAATTTAAGTGATTTTTTTTTAAGGTCTATTTCCAACATTCTGACTTCCAGCATTTCTATGTGAGATCATATCTTTAGAATGCTCAAAGTTTTTGTCTCAAAAGCAGATGGAATCAAATCTCGGTAAGCATTCTAAACTAGCATGGACTAGGATAACTTCAGAATGTCTTTACCAAAATATACTCTACTTCACAATACACTTAGTGTGTTTATCTTGAAATTCCAAGGCCTTAAAGTGTTATAGGGTAACACTCTTTTGAAGGAAAATTCAAAGGGAAAACTTTGACATATTTGGATATGTTTTTACAGATATGAAACTATGTCTACAACATATGAGTAAGTGAAAAAGGTAGGCGTATAAAAGGTAGATGTCAAAATGTGTAAGGAATGAACTCATATTTAAAACATTCATACACAGAATAAGAACCTGATAGATAGATAGAAAAACTATTCTTTCACTGGGATTTTGCAAATCTTCTATTTTGAATAAGAATAATTTTGTAACAAAGAAAAAAAAATTAAATACTGCTTCTGAAAGTCAGCACTGCCTTAGTGTAGCTCATCTTTATTTTAGGGTCATCTGTACACCACTTCTCTCCTGTATAGTATTTCTACGATTCTGCTACTTCCGGAACTATTAAGATGAAAACTTCATGAGAACAAACATTGTTCATGTACTATTTGTATTTTTGGTAAATTAAAGCACTGCAACATGTAAAACCTGACCTGTTCCAGATGAACATTTCTAAGCTTTACCCTATGAAATCATGGCAATCAAAACATGTAAGACTACTGTGACATACTAACTAGATTATTTGTACCCCGACAGACCACAGCATCTCAAGCACTTCTGAATTCAGGGCCTTGTGCATGCTAGACAAGCACCAAGCTACATTCCCAGTCCACCCCAAGCACTTTCTACTACATCAAAACACCAAAACAGACATGATTTTTTTCCTTTAAAATAAAAAAAAAAAAATGCATTTTACTAAGGTATAATTTATATACATCAAAATATTTCCCATGTTAAATGTATCCTTTATGAGTTTGAACTGCTCTAAGTAAGAAGCAATGTGCTTTCTGTCAACATACATAGACTGGGTGTAGTTTCTAAATAAAGAAAAGGTCTTTTTAGTTCAATTTTGACACGAGAAGATTTGCTTACTTGGATCCTGGATGATCCATTTCTCCCTGTAGATGTTTTTTCTAATAGTGGTAACTAGACAGCAGATTGCAAATCAAGCCTTTTTTTTTTTTTTTTTTTGGTCTTTTTGAGACAGGGTCTCCCTGTAGCCCCAGCTGGTGCGGAACTCATTATGTAGACCAAGCTGGCCTGGAACTCACAGAGATCCACCTGCCTCTGCCTCCAGAGTGCTGGGATTAAAAGCAAGTGCCACTATATCCAGCACAAAACAAGAATTCTTAACCAGCAAGTCATGAGAGCTTATAGTTACTACAAACTAGCCTATTGGTGGGAACTAAGCCTATGAGCACAGTAACTCCAGTTGCAACCCAGGAGCTTATTTAAAAATAACATTTGATGACACTTTGTTGTAATCACATTAGGGTTTTTTGTTTGTTTGTTTGTTTTTGTTTTTTCTGTTTCATACATTTACCTTTTAGGGCAATTCTGGCAAATCCTCTGGGGAATGGACATCTTTGAATGGTCTATTTGTGACCAAGGGCATAGACCAAATCTGCCTACTGTAGCTCATTTTTACTTCAGCTTTATCTGTATGCCACTTCTCCCCTATACACTATTTTTTTTTCTGCTACTTCTAGATGAACTGTTAAGATGAAAACTACAAGGAACAAACTATGCATAACCAAAATCCAGTAACATCAAGACAACTGGTGACTTGCAGATCAATGACCATCATCAATTTGTCACTTTCTTGCTCAAACAAAATCCTAACAAGCCACAGAACACCAAAACAACCACACAGGTAATGTTCTTAGGCCTGCCTTACTGGTGCCCATTGTCTGGTTTACTATTAATTCTTCTGGTTTGTTACAAAGCTTTGTTCTCCCAAGGCCATTTTTAGAACAACAAAATAAGGCACGAGCCAAGAAAGTCAAGTGAAGTATGCAATAAGTTGAAGACCTCACCGGAGCTCTTCTGGTTGGTGACTGGCTTGCCTTCCTGAGGTACAACGTGCTGGAACACATGCTGGGCACCCTGCACCGTGGCCCTCTTCAGACAGATGTCCAGCAGGTCGTGGGTGGTCCCGACATTCTGGGCAAGTACGAACTGGGGGTCGGAGTTTAGTTTGTGAATAAGAGCAGTTACCTTCTCGGAATTCAGTCCTGTGGAAAGATCAAACGCGATTAGAACAGCAAACCCAGAGGGTGTCGAGGGGCGGCTGGGAAGCAGGTCCGTAGAGCCTGGACTTTGCAGGAGCATCCCGTGAGAGCCGCCCGGGAAGCCTTTCCCCGGCGTCCTCCTCCACGCTCCTGTCCCCCTCCCTCCCGGTCGCTTAGGCCCGCGGGCAGCGCTGCATCCCCGCCATCGCCCCAGGTCCCGGCCCGGGCCTTCCACGCCGCCCGGCCTCCCGGAGCCCCGGAGACGACCCCGGCCGGCACTCGCGGGAAGAGCGGCGCCTCACCCGCGTTGATCATGGCGCCCACGCTGCCTTCGCAGGGTAACGTTAGTTTTCGGGGTCCTCCGGTGAGCGCCGGGGTGACACTGAAGCCCGCTGCCTAGGTGGCTGGACCTGGCTCTCGCACCCGGAGCGCCGGAAAAAGGAAACCGGCTCAATGGTGGCCGAGAGAAACGGGGTCCGCGGAGGGACAAAACTCCCCCCCTCGCGTTGCTGAGTCAGCGCCGTCGGGGCAGGCCCCGCCCGAGGGAGGGCCGACGGGGGTGGCCTCGCTGACGCGGAGTGGTCCGCACCTCCGACCCGGCGCCACGCGGCCGTGGCCACCCCCACTCCCAGCCGTGAGGTTTGGGCGCTAGCGTGGCCCACCCCCGCAGCGGCACCCTCGGCCATCTGCGACCCTCGTCCGGACCACCGGGGAGCGCTTTCCTGTCACTCTTCAGTCACTCGCAGAGGAGCGAGGCTGCAGGCTTCCATGCTCCGCTCACATCCCCCCCCCCCCCCCCCCGTCCTAGCCCTGGGCAACTGAGCCCCCCAAAAGTCTTTTGAGAAGAAGCCAGAAGGGGTCTGCAGGCGGTGAAAAGGAGCTGAGAGGCCCAAAATTATGCACAGGGCTGAAGAAGGGTTAACAGCTCTCAAGAAACCCACCCAGAGGCTTTTCCTGTAGGTACTTAGCTGACCAATCTGTTCATTTTTCAGTTGCAGCTTGTTGCTTGGATTCTAGTTGAGAACCAAGTTCTTTCATTTGGAAGGATTTTGGAACTAGTCTTTCCCACCTACCCAGAAGCTACTACAACGGTTCTACAAATACACATCTGCTCATTTCAAGAGAACCACACATTTCACAAAGCCCTAAGTGGCTCCTACTGAGCACAGCTTGGGCTAAGGGGAAATGACTGCGGTCAGTTTTGCGCATCAATACCGTTTGCCAATATCCACAAAACTCGTAAATGACACCCCCCCTCAAAATACCCCATCAGCAGTTTTCCAGGATTGGGGAAGAGGGGAGCCCACTGGAGATAAAAACAAGTACTCCTACACCCTGAAACCCTCTATTCAAAACAAGTTTTTAGTGGAACACAGAACCTAAGTCTTAAATTGATGATCATTGGTAGTTCTGAGGATTCTGATATCTGGGAAAGAAAAAAAAAAAAAAAAGACACCAATCTGTCATTTGAGAATTCAGTCTCTATGCTCCTGAGAGACTTGGGCTAAGACTGGCAATGTGACATAGCAACCATCTCCAAGGGAGCCCATCCACCCTCCTATTCTGAGATTCTTCCAGGATCTGAAAAAAAGAATCAGGCTAAAATTTAGGCTGAAGAAGCCACTGGTCCTTTTACAAAACGATGTTCAAGAGTCCTGCCCAAGTCAAATCATAAAACTATATTCCATATCTACAGTATAACAGCTATTAGTCGAGCTTCTGCTGATTTGAAGACTAAAAAGTTTAATCTTGTCCTCAAGAAACTCATAATGTGGGGCTGGAAATGTGGCTCCATGGATAAGAGCACTTGCTGCTCTTCCAGAGGACCAAGGTTTCTTCCCAGTACTCATGTGGCCTGTAACTCCTGCTCCAGGGGATCTGACATCCTCCTTTGCCCTCCATAGGCACCTGCACACACACACACACACACACACACACACACACACACACCCCACACACATACATAAATAAAAATTTTTAGATGTTAAAAAAGAAAGAAACTTGGAGCGGGGTGTGGTAGTAAATGCCTTTCGCTAATCCCAGCACTCCAGAGGCAGAGGCAGGTGGACCTCTGTGAGACTGAGGCCAGTCTGGTCTACATAGGACATTCCAGGCCAGTCAAAAGGAAGGAAGGGAGGGAGGGAGGGAGAAAGGGAGGGAGGAAAGGAACTTGGGCTGAGGAGATGGGTCAGGGGTTAAGAACACTGGCTGCTCTCTCTGAGGACTGGGATTTGGTTCCCAGCACCTACATGGCAGCTAAGAACTGTCCATAACTCCAGTTCCAGGGGACCCAACACCTTCTTCTGGCCTCTATGGTCATTGTATGACTTGGGTGCACTTACATACATGCAAAACAATCATACAAAATATAAATAAATAATAAACATTTCAAAAGAAACTCATGGTGGGAAAGACATGCAAGACAATCTATACTACCACACAGTCATGTTGTAGAAGCAACAACTGTTAATAAGAGTCAGAGATGCCTGAAAAAAAAAGAGGTGACAAGTCTAGGCTCAATGGTAGAGCATTTGCTTAGCATGCATGAAGACTCTGTTTTTGGTCTCCAGTACCACAAAAAGAAAAGAAAATGGGCATAATTTTGAAGAGTGGATGGAATTTTATGAGGCAAAGAATAGAAGGGCATTCAAGGTACCGGCAAAGGCACAGAGGCATGAAAGCACATGACAAAATCAAATTCAAGCTACTGTGCATCATGATCTGTTGTGGTTAAGAGCAAGGTATGTGTTGAGATCAGAGGCAAGGTGTAGGACTGGAAAAGTGGGTTTGGGCCAGGATATGAAAGGTTTTTATATGCCACACCTGAGCATCTGGACTTTATCTTGTGCTTAATTAGAAGCCCAAATAGGTTTTAAACAAAGGAGCAATATTCTCAGATCTGTGTAAAGAAAAATCTGGTAGCTGTGGGGAGGGGCAAGATACTGGCAATAGGAAACTAGTCAGAATGCTATTACAGTAGTGTACTTGGGAGATAATACTAGCCTTAGACCATGGAAAGGGAAGAAGCATAGATAACCTTGAAGTCTTCAGTTGAATAAGAGGATAAAAGATGGTGACCCAGCTTCTTAAACTGGCCTTCAACCCCTATGGGATCATGTAACTGGTGGGATAGGGGTCATGAAAAATTGGACAATAAAAAAAGGTTTCCAAATGTGTAATGACTGAACTTATTAATCCAGCACTTATTGAATTTGAGATGTTTCTGGCAGCACTTGCCTGTGTTGTATCACATAACTTCATTGCAGCCTTGTTTCTGAACACTCAACATGAGCACTTTGGCCTGCCTGCACGTGCTGTCACAACACACAGCACCAGTGAACATTGCCTGAGATACCTCGGCAGTAAAGTCTAGACTATTGTATATTATGCATTGCAGTGTTTTTACTGTACATATGAAATTTTTTGCCCTTAATGAAATACAATGATTTAATTACAGAAAACATTTAAAATATTTTCTTACCATCATTTTCTTCATATAAGTATGTGAGTGCACCCGTGTCATGCAATGCCCTCGGAGGTCAGAAGAGGATGTCGGATCCTCTGGAACTGGAGTTCTGGAAGGTTGTTAGCTGCCATGTGGGTTCTGGGATTCAAACCTGGGTCCTCTGTAAGAGCAGTCAGTGCTCTTAACCACTGAGCCATCTCTCCAGCCCCTGATACATTTCTTTATGACTTACTAGCAATAAATGTTTAATTTATATAGCTATTATATATACCTATATACCTAGGGTCACATAGAAAAGTTGTTAGATGAAGAAGGGTTGTAAGTGGGAATAAAGAAGCCCTGAACTGGGCTCAACGGTTAAGAACACTGGCTGTTCTTGCAGAAGACCCAGGTTTGAATCCCAGCACCCACATGGCAACTAATAACTGTCTATAACTCCAGTTTCAGGGGATCCAACAGCCTCTTCTGTTCCCCACGGGTACTGCACAACACAGATGCCCTTACCTACATGCAGGCAATACACATGAATACACATAAAATAATAAAATAAAAAAATAAAAAGAAGTCCTGAACCAAGAAAAGAAATACAGAAAAACAGGCCTATTTGGTAGTATGAAAATTGTAGATCTGAATTCACTTTGAGGCATGAAGTTTGGGGTTCCTACAGGAAGTCAAGGAAGGGACATCCAGGAGACATATGAAAGGGTCTAGAAATTAGGTAAGACACAGCAGCTGGATGTGGAACCATGAAACAGAAATAAAGAGGCTAGATCCAGAAAGAGATGGCGACCAAGGATAGCACTGTGGGCCTCAGCATGCGTTCAAAGGTGTTCGGGCCTCCCTCAAGGGCACCAGGCTAAGTATACTTAGCAGGGCTAAAATCCAATCTGAGCTCTGCTTGCTGAACCATGGACCCTGGCCTGGGACAGAGCAGTCAGGTTATGATGGGCCTTTTACTATTTACAAGGACACCATGGGGGAAGGGTAGCATTAGCTCTGGAAACAGTAACATTTAAAACACAGCTGAAAACAGAGGAGCCAGGGGGAAAAGAACAGCACTGGAGAAGACCTGAGGCATTACATGTTGAAATTCCAGAAGGGCAAGGGGAAGATGGTGACTGAGACTATAGGGCTGAAACTCTGGCAAGGTAAGATATGGTTGCTTTGGAGAGGGCAGTTGCAGTGGAAGTATAGGGTGGGTAGAAGCTTCACTGTAATACTCTAATGAGATAAATAGGGAAGCTCTTATGGGAGAAAAAGAAGACTGTCTACTGGGGATTGTGAGGAAGGAGCCAGTTCAGATGAGAGATGAGATGAAGTGTGTCAGAGAGGGTACAGATGCTCACATAAGAGCTCAGGCCAAGGGCAGATGGAATCACCCCGCAGGTTGAGGGGACTTGTTTTACAACTACAGTCACCCTCTCATGCCAGTCATTAGATCTCCCCACCCCATGCCCAGAGATTCCTATCATCATCTCTCCCCCAGATCTCTGGCTCTGCCCTATTATCAGAGTGACACCCTCATATCTGCTTTCTACCCAAGCAGCTCACACCCAAACACTCAGCCCTCCTGTGGGCATGGAGGGGAGGTGCACAATAAACTGGTTTTCATTGGGTCCTCCCGAAGTGACCCACCCTGGAAGACAATTCCTCAAGAATAAAATTTTTAGAATTTCTCCCCCTAACAGTGTCCAGAAGAGATGTGATGGGTCCTAGTGATGCCTCATGAGACAAAGCAACGAGAAACAGAATTCTAGTATGAAATCCACATTAGGAAAGGCGGTCTTTATGAATCCTGTGTAACAGTACCATTTGCAGTGCAGATGGGCTTTCTGCCTCCTGCTTCTATGGGGCTGCCCCCAAGGTAAAGCAAACAGGGCCAGTCTAGGGCAAATTTTCCATCAGGTCTCTCCTTTGTTGTTCACCAGTCTTTGACATGTATTGGTCAAATGTTTCCACTATGATGGAAAAGATCAGATTTTTATGGTAGATAGAGGTCTGGACTAAAATGTAACACAAACGTTTTATGGTTCTACAAAGCTCATTTACGTTTAAGCATTGCCCTAATAG